GTTATTGGGGCGGTGGGCATAAACTGGGACTGTATGTCCATTTTTGGCTGGCGTGCTCGTGCTCATAGGCAATTCTGCTCTCCTTCACTACTTTTTCCTCATTAGGAGCACGTACAGTCAACAGCAATCCATCTTGCAAGGTAAGACGCGTTCGAATAACCAGTGATGCAAGTGGTTTGCAAAAGCTCGACGTGCATTGCTACCGTAATCCTGAATTCACAAGCAGAGTTATCAAAAGTTTCTTCCTATTACGAGTTTTGCGTTAGTGTTTTTCTTGTTTTTCGTTTTCTTTTCTTTGCACCGCAGGGCGGTGTGCCTGTCAGGAAGCGATTTTGTTTAGGATGTTCTCAGAGATTCTTTCGCCTTTTTCTTTTTTGGAGAACCACTCATCAGGTACTGGCTTACAACTGAACATCAACCATCCATCACGGGAACTGTCCTCCAATCCTCTGTAGGGATCGTGGTTATACATACTACAACCATACAGACCGAAAAACAAACTGACATACAAGCCTACAAATTAATGCATAGCAGGGTATAGAAAGTGTCCGCCTTAAAGCAGAAGTACCACGGCGCCAATTGCAGGATTTATCGTGTTTGTCTGTTTAGATCGAATGGAAGGCCTGTGTTCATGAGATTTGGAAAAAGAGCACTACCGATTCTTGGCCAGCTCACGCATGCTTCACCAGCCATACAAGAAGAGGCAGCTGCTAAATACGTCTGACTTGTATGAACTGAAGTTAGTTCCACAGCTTACAATAAAGTTGTAGTTGTATCGCTTTCACATGGTTGAAAAACTCAATTCGTTCTCTTCAGTATAACGTTGGTACAATGCGAGTTGATTAGCTGTAATAGTACGATCTTTATTATGAAGCGTACACGTCTAAAGCTGTTGATCGTCGAAATTCCTAGGTAGATTCGATGGAGTTCGTCTCTTCAATTTATACAACACATAATCAAAGATTCGCATCTCGTGTGGTGTTAGATGATGGAACCCAATCATCTCTGGACTGAAGTTGTCAGTTCCCTGGAATAGCATCAAGTTTTCACAAAATAAAATGGCCACAGATGAGGCCATTCCTTCTGTACAGGACCTCCACAGCATCATTCTAGTAAAACACAAGAGACTTTCCATCGGAAACTTTAACGCGCAAGAGAAGGCACGTCGTGACGTTGGACAAATTCTTGCAAAATACGGCCCTCCTCTCACGAAGTTTAATTCTCTGGTAGACTCCCCTTCCCTTCCTTATACCCTATACTCAACTTACAATATCCCAATTTCTTCACCGTCTCCCCGATTATGTTTTTATAATTCTTCCCTTCCCACACTCACAAAGTAATGTCGTCAGCGTAGAGGGGGAAGACGGTAGCGGCGCGTTAAACGGCAAGAACAAGGAAAGAATTTAAGGGCCGAAATTGTTTTTTTTCAAAAGGCCGACTCAAATCCAGTGACCAAAACTAACGACCCCCCCTTGCTGGTTATTACCCAAGTTGATGTTACCTGAATGCGAGCTTCGCGGTATAAGGGTAGAGATAAGTGAGACTAAAAAACACATGCAATCACAAGCAAAAATGCAAAACCCGTCGGACCCCTGGTATCAACCTGCATATCACGACACTAATACCTACACCTCCCATATAGGTTGGAGCTGAGATACAAGATGGCCACTAGTGGTCAACCCACTTAATCTGTAAAAAGGAACAGCACTGGGACTAACATATGACGTAAGGTGCGCATTAATACAAGAAGGAGGTGAGTTTGCTTCTGTCGAGATTGTTGTTGCGGTAAAGGCAGAACAGTAGTGGGCGGGAGAGGGAGATATGGTATCAACGATAATCTTGATTTGAAAACTGGTAGAAAGTTCTTTTTTTTCTGGCTATGAACTATGTGGTAACTAAAACTCATATATGTACCTGAAGCGGAGGGTAATAAGAGAAGCTCTTTGCAAACGGATCTTTGTACATAAGAAGTTGTTCGGTTGGGTGAAAGTGATGGAACCTGAATAAAATTCGCAGAAATCATTGTGTAGGTGGGTGTTTAAAATATAGCAACTTAAGTTTTACATCAAGAGTCGGAACCTTTTTGGCTTTGCGCCCTTTGCAGTGTCCCACTGTCGACAAAACCCGGCGTTTTTTTTATATGTGAGCCAGATGGGCTGAAGTGCAGTCGCGCACAGCTCTTCTGAATGAGTTGGGGGAGGGCACTTGCTCGAAAATTAGTTCCGACATTACCAACTTCGATCCGATACATATTTCTCTGACCATGAGTTGGATCCGACCTCCGTCACCAAAAAAAGCGTGAACATGCAGGCAGCGGTGCGCAACGGTAGAGGCGTCATTGTTGTTTTCACACAACTCCGTCGTAGAAGCGTCCTGTTTTCATGCGCTCTTACTTCTGATAAAAACAGCTTAATCGTGCATACACAATCCGCATGTGGGCAGCAGCACGCTTGGAATCAGTGGTCACTCATGTATGATACCATAGGAAACATAACTACAGTTTCGGTGCTCATTACAGCTCTGCAAACGTCCTCCACCAGCTATCCGAAATGCAGTTAGCTTAGCGGTGTCGTCGCTATCGATAAGCAGATACACTTCGCTAACTGGAAGCCGGGTAGTTCAGCCATATCGGTCACGCGGTTGTCACAAGCGATGTGGCCGATTTCTCCACGCAGACGTATTTCTATTAGTCTTTATCGGTCGCTTTCACTTGTTGCCACCCACCACCAGTGTATCCATCCCTCATCCCTGTCACTTGTTGGGTGCATGGCGCTATGGTTGGGCGCTATTCATTCAGTAGCACTCATTCTTCAACACACTTCATCTGAAAGTTACCACAAGAATGCCGAGTTATGGGCAAAAGTCAGATAACGGACGGGATTCAGCTTACCGGGCGGTTGCGTTCCCTATTGCCAGCTCGGCTCAGTCGCTATTTGTGCCATTGCCTTCGAGCACTCACACGTTCAACGTGATGAACGCAACTGCCCGGTAAGCAGAAGATGCGGGTTCGAATCCCGTCCGTGGTCCGACTTTTGCCCACAACTCAGCATTCTTGTGATAACTTTCGGATCGCGCACTGCGGCGTTAAACAGCAGTTATCAAACAAAACTTCTTTATCTGTTCTTATCAGCTATTACTAGTTTCTTTCATCACGCATTAGTGCTCCCCGCCGCCTTGCTTTTCCAGTCCGTGGAACCAACGTTTCACTGTTGCTATTTGTAAGACCCGCGCTATGAACTTAGTGACATGCATTTCCAGCTTATTATCAGTTGTTAACACTTCATCATTAATGTTTCCGTCCCATCCTCATTATCATATCTTGAACGAACGTCCCGCTGTTACTATAACCCGTGCTAAGACTCTGATGACACTCCATTTCTAGCGCCATTTATCAGATGTTATCAGTTACTATCACCTCCAGTCACCTACCAGCAGCCTTCCCCTCCTTTCTACTATACCTTCTCTTGGAACCAAGATTCCAGTGATACTGCGATGGCAGCAATGATTTCGTAAACAGACATTTCGTTGACAGACAAACAGAGATAGACAGACATAAAGGCCCACACACAGACATACTCAGCAATTCACATACAGTGGGATGCTTCAGCTTTGAGTGCTCACCTGTCAGATCCATTTTCATCTCGAGTATCTTCAGGAAAGATTCCAGCAGCAGCCAAGCACCTCCCTATCTGAATTATCACAGGATTTCAATAACCCCAATGAAAGTAATCGTTATTGTTGAAACTGTCTCTAGAAAGAAACTTTTTAATAGATGCGGTCATGATATAATCAGTGAACTGTTGACACCCCAGGAAAGGTCATAGAAGTCCAAACACCTTACATGAAAGTCCAATAATAGACCTCCGAAGCTATTTGGATTTGATTTCATGTGGGTTCTAATGGCCTTGTGTGACAGTGGAAGAAAATATTAGGCTGTCCCAAAAGTTCGTGACGTTTTTCGAATCTCGCATCAAATCTTTTCGCAGCTATCCGAGATCCACTTATGT